CACCACCAAGAAAGTGAAAGGACAACTTACAGAATAAGGGAAAATATTTTCAGATCATATATGTGATAAGGGACTTGTATCCAGAATATAAAAACTCAATAGTAAAAGATAAATTGTAAAAGACAACTAAAAATGGGGGAAGAGGGGCACCTTGGTGGCTCAGTCAGTTAATTGTCTGACTTGTGCTCAGGTCATGATCCCAGCATCCTGGGTTTGAACCCCACATTGGGCTCCTTGCTGAATGGGAAGTCTGCTTCTCCCTCTCCCTCTGCCTGCCGCTCTGCCTACTTGTGTTCTCTCTCTCTCTCTGTGTCAAATAAATAAAAAAATGTTTTTTTTTTTAAATGGGGATAGAATGATGGTTGTGCAACGTTGTGAATGTACTTCATGTCACTGAACTGCACACATAAAACTGGTTAAAGTGGTAAATTCTAGGCTATGTACATTTAACTATAATTTTAAAAAATTATTTTTGTAAAATGTGCAAAAGATTTGTGGGGCACCTAGGGGATTCAGTCAGTTGACCATCCGACTTCTGATTTCAACTCAGGTCATGACCTTGGGACTCTGGAATGGAGCTCCAGTGTCAGGGTCCTGGGATGGAACTCTGGTGTCAGAATTCATGCTCAATAAGGAGTCTGCTTCTCTCTCTCCATCCACCTCTGCCCCTCCCCACTCATGCACACGCTCCCAGGTGCATGTGCCCTCTCTAAAATAAATAAATCTTTAAAATAAAATAGAACGTGCAAAAGATTTCAAAGGACATTTCTTCACAAAGAAGATATACAAAAGGCCAATGAGCACATGAAAAGATATTCAATATTATTAGTATTAGATATTAGATATTAGTATTAGATATTAGATACTCAATATCATTAGGGAAATACAAATCCAAACCATAATGAATACCACTTCACCCCCACTAGGAAATTGGAACCCTCATATATTGCGAGCAGTAATGTAAAATGATGTAACTGATTTGGAAAACAGTCTGGCAGTTCCTCAAAATTATAAACACAGGATTATCCTATGACCCAGCAACACTACTCTTAGATAGACCCAAGAGAAATGAAAATACATGTCCAAACAAAAAATTGTATTCACATGTTCATAGCAGCTTTATTCATACTAGCCAGAGTGGAAGCAATGCACATGTCCATCAACTGATGAATGGATAAACAAAATGTGGTTTATTCATGCAATGGAATATTATTTGCCAATAAAAAATAATGAAATACTGGAACGTGTTGCAGTAGGGATAGTCCTTGGAAAAAATTGGCTAAGCAAAAGAAGGGAAGCATGAAAGGCCACAAATTATATAATTCCATGTATATAAAATGTCCAGAATAAGCAAATCCTTAGAGATAGAAAGTGGATTAGTGATCACTAGGGGCTGAGAGGATGTGGGAATGGGGAGTGACAACTAGTGTATATGAGATTTCTTTCTGGGGTGATGAAAATGTTCTGGAATTAGATAGTGATGATAGTTCACAGCTTTGTGAATATACTAAAACCCACTGAACTGTATACTTAAATAGATGAATTTTATAGTATGTGAATTTTATCTAAATAAAACTATTCAATAAGAAGAATATTGGGGTACCTGGATGGCTTAGTTGGTCAATCATCTGCCTTTGGCTCAGGTCATGATCCCAGGGTCCTCGGATGGAGCCCCACGCAGTCTCCCCCCTCAGCAGGGAGCCTGCTTCTCCCTCTCCCTTTGCTCATGCTATCTCTTATCTCTCTCTCACAAATAAAAACAAATCTTTTAAAAAAATGAAAAAGAAGAATATTAAGTGGCTCAGAGAATCTCTAAGAAATCTAGAGAATCAGGCTCAGCGGCTACTCAGCTGAGAATAATACCTAAATTATACCACAGATGGTTCCAGAATGAGCCCTAATTCTGTTCCTCTGAACACAGCCACCACAGACGCTCTGTTGGACCTTTGGCCCTTTAGGGTCCATATCTCTGCCAAGTTCTGCCGCAAGACAGAAAATGGCTTCTCTGGGGTCCATCTTCTCCTATTGCCTTCATTCAACGGAAGTCTAATGTTTATCCATCCGACTGCCAGAGTCCACATCACAGTTTCAAGCCCCACCCGCAAGGGAGGCTGAGAAAGTGGGTGGAGTTCTGGGAGGTGAGACTCAAACAAATGTTCACTATCCCACACTTCTCTCAATGGGTTTGGCTGGGCAATGGTTTTAAAGTCATAAAATGTTGGAGTTAAGTGGGCCCTTTGAAGTTCAGCTACTAGGCTGGCCATTTGGTCCCATGACTGCAACAATCTAAAGACAATGGGCAATTTCTAGCTTTATCTTTCCTTGCTTGTTAAGCATTTGGCAACGTTAATCACTCTTTTTTCTTTTAATTTCATTTTATTTATTTATTTTTCTTATGTTCAGTTAGCCAACATACAGTGCATCATTAGTTTTTGATGTAGTGTTCCATGATTATTAACCACTTTTTATTTTATTTATTTAATACTTTATTTATTCGTTTGAAGAGAGATCACACGTAGAGAGGCAGGCAGTGAGGAGGAAGCAGGTTTCCCGCTGAGCAGAGAGCTCAATGCGGGACTTGTTCCCAGGACCCTGAGATCATGACCTGAGCTGAAGGCAGAGGCTCAGCCCACCGAGTCACCCAGGCGCCCCTAATCACTCTTTTTAAAAACCTTTCTCTTCCCTGTGTGTGGGTCCGCCCTTATGTACCTTTCTAATCAGTTTTTTTCTGTTTCCTTCTGGAGCTGCTCTCTTTGCCCCTTAAAGCTGATGTTTCTCCTCACTGACATGTTCAGTCCTGCTCCGAGTAACTCAATCCAAATTGTGTGGATGTCATGGGTTCAGCTGTGTCCCCCTGAAATTCATAGGTTGACGTCCTAACTGGCACTACTTCAGAGCATTACCTTATATGGAAATAAGGTAATCTCCAGATAAGAAATAAAGATAAGGACAGTTGTACTTAGTTAAAAATGAGATCACACTGGAGTGGGGGGGGGGCTGCCTGATCCAATATGACCGGTGTCCTGACAGAAGGGGAAATGTGGACACCCTCATGCAGGGAGCGTACCACGTGAAGCCTGCACTTATGATACCACAAGCCAAGGAACTACCAGAAGTGAGGAGAGAGTCCTGGAACAGATCCTTGCCTGGCACTGTCAGAGGGAGCGTGGTCCTCCTGACACAGGTCTTGTCTATCTGGCCTCCAGAAGCGTGAGACCATACATTTCTGTTGTTGAAGCCTCTGTTTGTGGTACTTTGTTATGGCAGCCTAGCAAAGGAAGTGATTTGTTCTCTACTCCTGTATTTTCCTTCTACTTAAAGGTGGATAACTCTCTAATTTGCATTGCTAGTCCACAAGGCCCAAACTGCCTTACAGATCCATGGGACTGTCTTGCCTGCTGGGGTATTTGCATTTGGATATCCTACAAAAGTCATAAACTCAACTTGTCTAAACTTCAGCTCACCCTTTCTCTGGTCCCACTAGCTCACCCTTCATTTCTCTGTCTTGGCAGATGGTACACATGCATGTCAGGGTGATAGCCTCCAGCTCCACTCTCCTCCTTGTTCCCAGGCATGTCCTAAAGGTGTTGTCTCTCTCACATCTTTGGAGACTTTCCCATCCATCCCCACCCACCTACACCCCGTCCTGGGCTATCTGCCTTCCATATGCCTTCCTCAGTAATCTGTGTGAAGCACAAGGGTCCCCACAGCTTCCAAAGGTCCAACCCCAGAGCTTAGCAGATGAGACAGTCATCATCTGACTCCATAACCACGTCTCTCACCTCTGTTCCTCTCACCTGTTTTCTGCAGCCATACAGAAGTTCAGATCTTCCCCTGCCTCTCTCTCTCTCCATCCTGCCTAATGCCTGCTCTGTCTTCAAAACACAAATGCATCCTTCTGTGGGAAGCCTTCCTAACTTCTAGCATGATCGAAAGTCTGCTTCTATGTTCCCTTAACCCTCTGGCCATACACTCTATCATAGGAATTTCTCCATGGGCTGAAATTGTTGGCCTCCTCCTCTCAGCCCCCACCTCCCCTTGGCTCCTTAATAGTAAGGGGCTTTAGAGTAGAGACTGAAGGCTTTTTGCAGCTTCCTATTCTCAGCCTAGTGCCTGGCACATGGGAGGCACTCATAAATGTTTCTAGAAGAAGGGCACCTTGGTGGCTCAATGGGTTAAGCCTCTGCCTTCAGCTCAGGTCATGATCTCAGGATCCTGGGATTGAGCCCCACACCTCCTTCCCCCTCTTTTTCTCCCAGCCTCTCTGCCTACTTGTGATCTCGTTTCTCTCTCTTTCTCGTTTTGTGTGTGTCAGGTAAATAAACAAAATCTTAAAAAAAAAAAAAAAAGTTTCTAGAAAGAAGCAAGGAATTCGGGGATGATGAGTTGGGGGAGACTTCCTACCCAAACCTATTTTACAGAATAAACAGTAAGTCCCCAAGAGGCAGTCATTTCTTATCATTTTCAGAGATGATGGTGTCGCAGTTGACTCATTGTCAGAATTTACTAAAGTAAACGCAAGAGATTTTTTTCCTGTCTCCCATTCAGGAGTCGTGATGGCTTTCAGTAGCGTAAAACGGTCCCAGAATGGACGCTGGCCCTTTTGGGTTGTCTCAGCCTCATCCAACTAAAGTCGTTTCCCCCGGAGGGCCAGAGTTTGCATTTGTGTTTACAGGACTGGCAGGGAGGACGCGCTTGCCGGACTAGACCTGCGAACCCAGCCAACACCCCCCTTCCCTGCCCGCCCTGGGCTGCGATTGGCCCTTCCCCGGAGGCTGGGCACAAGAGCCTTTAGTCATCGCACTGAGAAATCTTTCTGGAACTGGGCACCAACTTGCGTGTTGTTTTCCTGCTCTTTGTGCGGGGATTAGCTGCCCTGCGGGGTCTGGGAATGCTGCGGGGGCTGGGCAGCCCGTAATCCAGGATTTGCCCCTGCCTCGCGGCTTATGGAAAACAGATGTCTCGCCGCTCTGCGCCTCGGCACCGAATGGAAATGACCAACCAGAGAGCCTTTTGGAACCGGGGACACCGAGCCCAGGGCCTCCAGAAGCCAGCTGGGAGGCAGCTTTGCTCCCGCTCGCCTGTTTGTGCCCCTTCAGCCCCGCTCTCGGACCCCACGAGGCGGTGAAGCGGCTCCACTTCAGATACGGCTTCGGGAGGAGCGCGCCAGCCGAGGCCGCCGGCCGCCGCCGCAGGGGCCGCGCGCGAGCAAACCCCGGCCCTGGAGGGGGCCGCCGCCCCACCGGAGGCGGAGCCGCCGCCCGCCGCCTCCCGCCAGCGCGCGGGTTCTCCGCCGAGCGAGGCGCCCACGGGCAGTAAGTCAGCGCCGGGGCTGGGGCGGCACGGCCGGGTCCACCCGGAGCCTTCCGCTCTGGCCCGGGTCCCCGCGGACTGCGGCGAGGGCAGCGGCCGCCGGTCGGCTTCCGGATCCTGCCGGCGGTGCGGCGATGCCAGGCTGGAGCGGGCGCCGGTGGGGACGCGCGGCGGCGGGCGCTGTCGGGCCGCGGAGGGTGCTGAGCCTTGACTCGGCGTCCACTCAGGCCCGGGCCGGCCGAGGTCCCCCGGGGGGACCGGGCCCCTCTGTCCTGCCTGCAGTATCTGTGCACAGCTTCGGAAGTAAAACTGTTAACGTCATTGTGCACCGAGGTGGGGGGGAAATGGATATTCTGCAATCTTAAAAGGCTTGCTTTAATGATTTTTTTTTTTTTTTAAACGATGGGTTTCCTCGCCCTGTTTCTCTTAAATTTTGGTCGTTTTGCAAAACCACTCAAATAGGTTTCCTGCCTATTAGCTTCCATGCAACTCGAGGGCATGCTACAGTTCTAGCTTATTAGAGGAGGGACATGTTGATTTTTGAGGGTTTGCAGGGCTCTTTTTGGTGGATATGTTTTATTTCGAACACGCATGCCCCGTGTTGAAAACCGTATGTTGCTGACAAATCGGGGTGAGGAGAAACGATTGTCGTATGAAACATCTGTCAGATCCAAAGCATTCTTGGAAACCCCAGATTTGTACCCACCTGTAATCCAACCCCATAGAGCAACTGGTAGCATTTTTACTCCTCCACTCCCTCAGGAAATCACCAGCCTTAAATTATGAAACAGAGACAGCTTTAGATTCGGTGCTTTTTTACCTAGTTAATTTTAAAGTCCTTAGAGTTCCAGACATCCAAAGATTAGGTTAGCCCCTAGGGAATCCAAAGATTAGGTTAGCCCCTAGGGGAAGAGGCATGGCTGTTCTTGTGCCCTACGCACCCCAGTGCTTTTTTCACTAGACAATTTTTGGCGTGTAAAAATGGAGATTAATTTTTTCATCAAATTTTTAGAATGCGGTTATGGGATTGACACCCGATAACTTGTATTTCCAGGTTCCTTTACCAGGGGATGGGAGGACGGACTGTGCCCAGGTCACTACTTCCTGGCCCTACTTGACCTCTAGTTTCAGATTTCCACTTGATTTCATCCTTGGCAGATGTAGTACCTGTCCTTCAGCTGAGACAAAAGAGCAGGAATGATTCAGAACACTTTGACTATCACAACCTCCACCAAAGAGGCAAAGAATTTGATTGAATTCTTTATGGCACACGTTATGTTTCCCTCCTCTGCAAATTTAGGTACAGTTAGCAATCAAGGATCAATTTAAAATAACAAAAAAACCTCTGCCTTCCTCCTCCCTTAAGGTAAGTAGGAATTTGGCTGAGTTGGGCGAGGCCACGTACATTAATGAAAAGTCTTCATTCTGTGATAACTCACTCTTATTCTGGACTAGGTAGAGGGTTAATACCACACCCACCCCCTCACTCACCCTCATATGTGCACATTTTTTTTTCCCTGTGCGCTTGCTTTTCTTTCTACCCTTTTCTACACTATTCCTTTTATACATACATGACTCTATTTTGGATCATGGACTCTAGGATATCATTACCTTTCAGCGTCAAGGTTTGTTTAGATGACAGGGTTCCTTATCAGTATTCTCAAGTTTCCCCAAATCTTATCTTTATTTTCCTGGAAAATTCTATGTCTGTTAAATCCTCCATTGGAAATTCCACTGTATCTTTCAAAAGCGACATGGCGTCTATATCTTGAATTGTTTTTCTTGCACTATCATTTTGATGTTGTCTTCCCTCTTTTCCTAATTGCCTGGTCAGCTTGTTATTTCTGCTTCGTATTAGAACACAAGTGGAAGGAACTTCTCATAGGACATGGAATATAAATGGGGTAGGGAGTCTTCCTGAGCATTAATAGCATAGACTCTGACCTTTTCTTTGGTCTGCCCTTGGACTGAATTCTGTCCTTTGAATTTCTGTCCACTGACTACACTAGAAAGAGCTGCATATTTACCTCGGGGCTCAGGAGTGATCTGTTTATTTGACCTTTTCCGAGTAGCTGTAATTCACTAGTCTCCTAGAGCTGCGTGGTGAGAATTTGCCTGTTGAGTGGAAATAAACCAATTGGGTAATACAGTAATGCCCAAGGAACCTTTGAAAATGCTGTCCTGAGTGGCGCCTGGGTCGCTCAGGTCGTGGTCCCAGAGTCCTGGGATCAAGCCCCGCATCGGGCTCCCTGCTCAATGGAAAGCCCGCTTCTCCCTCTCCCACTCCCCCTGCTTGTGTTCCTTCTCTCGCTGTGTCTCTCTCTGTCAAATAAATAAATAAAATCAGAAAGAAAGAAAGGAAGGAAGGAGGGAAGGAAGGAAGGAAGGAAGGAAAGAAGGAAGAAAGAAAATGCTATCCTGAAATTCTGGTGAGATAACATTATCAGAACTTTCTCCTCTCATCACTCCACTGCTCACTTCACCCCAAATCTATCTTGGGTTACAAATTCCCTAAAGACAATTTTTAGCTTGATTTATTCAGGCCCTAAAAGTTTATGCTGGCAGGTACAGGCAAGACTCTTTTGATGCTTCTGCTGATGATGTGGATAGGAACAATGACTGTTTTCTTTTGGGTTTCATGAAAAGATATATTCCTAGACCTCTGTTTGAGAAGCCTCTCTGAGACTGAGATCTTAAAAAAAGCCTTGAGGTAGGGGTCAGGGTGGGGAGGGGTGCTCAGTCGGATTCTTGGTTTCAAGTCAGGCCTAGATCTCAGGGTCCTAAAATTGAGTACGTGGAGTCTGCATGAAATTCTGCCTTCACTTACGCTCTCTCTCAGAATAAATAAATAAAATCTTAAAAACAAAAAGCCTTGAGTCAAGGCTGACGTATAATCATACTCCCTTATCAACATTATTTTTTTGTGCCTGTATATATATTAGACCTTGAGACTGATCTGCTAGTTGGAAAGTCGGAAAAAGCTCCTGCAAGTCTGTTGAGTTTAGCTCATTATTTTCTCTGGAAGAGATTAGTAGGTCTTTGATGTGGATAGAATTTGGTCTTGGCTTTAGAAGAATTGACAAGTGCGACCTGTGAGATAAGCAAGTGGAGGGGAAATGAAGGAGAGGAAATCTAGTGATATGGAACCATGGATACTGGCCACTCAGCTTTTATGTGGGCTTTTTTTTTTTTTTTTTTTTTGAGAATTTAGTGGAAATTGAACCTCAGAAACTGAGCTTTCATGGGCAAATATTTTGTCATACAAATGCTGGGTTTTTTTCCTGTGTAAAACTCTCATTTTTTGCATATCCTTCCTGTGAATCTCATCTTAATCCCTGAACAGAAATATCCCCTTCCTAGAATTTTCACTACATTCTTTTTTTCTGAGCATATTGGATGTCTGGATGCAATTTATGGAGGCAGAAGGGCTGGCCAGGAAGATTAGGATGTGTCCTTGAGGCAAACAAAAAACACTGTGTCTGTCAGCATCTTTATTAACTTAGGACAGTTTAGAAGTGTTCAAATAGAAGCTGTGGCTACAAGTTTCCTTCTGCTTTAACTGCAGGAAAATGAAGGAACCTAAGAAGTGCAGACTTCAGGAACCAGAGCAGTTTGTAGAATTATGCTGGAGGTAGTTGGAATTCTGGAAGGAGAATAGCCTTTTAAATTGCTGTCTCCTTATTGTAAATGATTTCCAAGTTTCAGAATGTCTGCTGTTTGAGGGACGTCTTGTTTAGTTTAAATATAGTCACTGATTCCGACCAAAATATCCAGAGAGGCATTCAAGTCTTGCTGACTGGCTTATCTCCTGTTAGGGAAAGGAGTAGCACTTTAGACTCTCAATGCAGACCTTCAGCGATGATGATTTTGAAGACCAGGAAGTAAACCAATTGGAAAAATCTTTCTGATTAAGATTCCTGAAAAGAGAGATCCTACATGAGACCAAAAATGTGAAAGACTAGACCCATTTATGTTTCCGACTACTCTGTCCAATCAGGTAGAAGAAAGGAAAGGTGTTTTTAAGCCCAGTCTGTCAGCGAACAGGTACTGTTTAACACGTACTGTGTTTCAAGCCCCCTGCTTTATGATCTGTAACGTACAATCGAGTAAAAGGTGAGCATCTGCCATGGAAGCTATTTCAAGCCTCAGTGGTAACTTTAAACATTAGTGTGCATTCTCCCACCTGTGCACTGAGTTCCTCGCCTGGGAAAGCAGGTCCAAGGCTGTGGGAAGAACCCCGTCTGTAGTTCAGCTACATACAACCACATCCTGAGGGAATCACCATGGTGATTCCCATGAGATTTGCTTCCGTTGGCAGAGTAAGTTGTGTTCTTGCCTCTTTCAAAACAACCTGGGTGAAGTGACACTGGCTTCATAATTCCAAGACCCCTATTCGATGCGTGCCTCTGTTCCTAGAATGTTTCTTCCCTAGTCACCAAGCAGTTCAGCAGGGACCCGACTAGCACCCAGATGACTCACAATGCGGACATTCCTAGAGGGTAAATGATAGAGACCCTTGAACCTCGCCTAAGAACATGCAACCAGGTCTCTTTCATCATGAAAATAACCTCTCAGACTAAACAAAGACAGAACTGTCTCTTTTGCTAACCACCTGTGGTTTATTTAAATTAGTGTTACATGTTCAGCAGTGGTGTCAGAGCCAGATTATAAAACTGCCTAAAAGAATGAGTGTTCTGGGCCTTTGCATAGGGATAGAACAAGACATTGGCCACATTGAATGGGATTTGCATCTTGTTAGCTTGCCTGCGTGTCCTCGACTACCAGACACAATGGGAGTGTGCACGTCCAGCTTTGTAGCTGGGCAGCCTGTCGTACTTAATGATTCTGCTGGGAATTAAAATAGTGAACTAGAAGCATGAGGAGTGGGGTGGCGGGGGAGGAAAGAGATAGGAACTTTTAGGAGACTCAAAAGAATGCGAACTTGGGGGTCAGTCTAATACCACCCCCTTTTTTTCTTTGCTGTACTTTTCATCTCCAGTGA